ATGTCAGACGGCTCGGGGACCAGTTATCCCAAACGCACAGGGAGGTTCGGAGCGGGGCCGGTCCGGGGCTGCCGGCTCTCCATCCACGTGCGAAAGCCACGGTTCCCGCCGCACACAGACACGGGCCCACAGAAACAGAGTCCACCCCCTGGCTCGAGGCTCTGTCCAGCTGGGCCGCCGGCCAGGGCCCCGGCTGCTCTGAGCACCCGATTGAGCCACTTACTGACCAGTCCCGACGTAACTGTCTTTCTCCTAGGAATACATCAAGGCCAGGACGGTTTTGATCCGTTGGATCGGATTAGCCTATCACAGTTCAGATAAGACCTGGAAATGGGAAGATGGCTCCGTGCTTCCCATGAACATGTAAGTCTCTGGAAAATCTGAATAGAAGATCCTTCTAGAATATTCTATCAGGAGAGGCCCCTATCCTGTTGGATACAGGATAAGAGATATCAGCCGGGTGCTGGTGGCTCCCGCCTGTCATCCCAGCTACTCAGGAGGCTGAGATCTGAGGACCCTGGTTCAAAGCCAGCCTGGGCAGGAAAGTCGGTGAGACTCTGATCTCCAATGAACCACCAGAAAACCAGAAGTGGCGCTGTGGCTCAAGCGGTAGAGCGCCCGCCTGGAGCACAAGAAGCTCAGGGACGGCACCCAGGCCCTGAGTTCAGGCCCCAGGAATAGCAAACACACACACAAACTTTGGGTGTGTCTCTGCTCCCTACTGTGGGTTTCATCGGGGGAAACTGAGTCATTCATACCTTATTCCTAACCACAGATCCTTGATCAAAACACAGTGCGACTCTCCCAGTTGCTGTAGCAAAGCCATGGTCCATTTGTGTGTGTGTGTGTGTGTGCGCGCGCGTGTGTGTGTGTGTACGTGTGTGCCAATATGGGGGCTTGAACTCAGGTCTTGGGCTCTCACTTTTCGCTCAAGGCTGGCGCTCTACCACCTGAGCCACCGCCCGCTGCTGGCTTTTTGCAGATTCATTGGAGATCAGGGTCTCTCGGGCCTCCAGCTGTGAGCCTCAGATCGCAGCCTCCTGCGTGGCTGGGATGGCTGCTGCTTCCTTGTGCTTTGCTGTGAGCTCTGTCCCCTGCAGTCCCTTCAGGCAGACCCCACCCAGAGTGTCTCCGCGGCCTCGCTTTTCAGGGGAATCCGGTCTTCATTTGTGTTTTCAATCCGCAGGCTTGACCTTTCCGGGGATCGGAGAGACAATATGAATTGTGCTTATTTTCATCTGGGGAAGATCGCCCCACCTTCTGCTCGGATAAACACTATTTTCATGTGCGAGAGGAAAGCCGGCCTGGCCAAGGTGGAGCACCTGCCGTAGGGGGACGGGGCGTGGGCTGCACACCCCCACAATAAAACGCCCCGGAGGGAAATGCCCAGCCACAGACTGGCTTTATTTCCACCTGCCTTCCTTCCCTCCTTCCCCCCCTCCCTCCCTTCCTTCCTTTCTCTCTCCCTCTCTCCCTTCCTTCCCTCCTTCCTTCCCTCTTTTCTTGTCTTTTTTTGTGCTGGCTCTTGGGCTTGAATTCAAGGCCTGACGCTGTCCCTTAGCTGGGAGCTCTACCACTTGAGCCACAGCTCCATTCCCGGCTGTTTGCTGGTTCACTGGAGATGTTTTCATGGACTTTTCTATCCCGGTTGGCTTTGAACTGCAATCTTCAGATCTCTCAGCCCCCTGGGTAGCTGGAATTACAGGCATGAGCCACCAGGGCCTGGCGGGCAATACCAACATTCAAAGGCATACAGTAAGTTGAAGAACACAATGACTCAGTTCAAGGAGCAATCATGAGTCCCCTGGGTGGCTTTAACTTCCATTTCTTATATTTAAAATAATGGGCTAGCCGGGCACCGGTGGCTCACGGCCTGGCATCCCAGCTACTCAGGAGGCTGAGATCTGAGGATCACGGTTCAAAGCCAGCCCAGGCAGGAAAGTCCGTGAGACTCTTATCTCCAATGATCCGCCAGAAAAACAGAAGTGGAGCTGTGACTCAACGTGGTAGCCTTGAGCAGAAATAGCTCAGGGACAGGGCCCAGGCCCTGAGTTCAAGCTACAGCGTGTGTGTGTCTGTGTGTGTGTGTGTGCACGTGCGCACACATGCATGCAATACACACACAATGATAATAATAATAGGAAAGTAAAGTTTGTGAGAAGCCCCATCCAGTTTGTAGAAATAGGTTTCTTTCCATTTCTTTCTTTCTTGTGTGTAGCTGTACTGACACTTGAACCCAGGCCTTGTGCTCTTGCTTGGCTGGCGCTCTACCCCTTGAGCCACACCTCCACTTGTGGCTTTTTGCTGGTTCATTGGACTTAAGAGTCCCAGGATGGACTTCCCTGCCCAGAGCAGGCTTTGAACCGCGATCCTCTGTTCTTCGCCCCCTGAGTAACTGGGGTGCAGGTGTGAGCTGCCCCCCCTTGGCTAATAAACAGATGCTTCTTGACGAAGTCCAGAGTTGAGAAACCCAAGGCCAAGCCACGTGCCTTCTCCCCTCTCCGAGCTCTATGTTCAGCTCTTGCTGACTGACCTCAGGAATGCTGTGGAGCGGGTTCTCCAGCAGGATAACAGGCCAAAACGCTAACGGGGGGGGGGGGGTCCCCCTTGGTCAGAGCCGGCTCCCTTCCTTGCAATTGCAAGTGCGATCCTCCGCGTCCCCGGTCCCCCCCGTCGAGGTGTTTGCTCAGACCCAAACGTGGCGGGGAGAATGGGCGTCTGCACCATTCTGCACTTTCATATAAATGTTACTCCAGAACTTACTCTTTCTTTGGGGGGGCTGATGCTGGGACTCGAACTCAGGGCCTCGGGTTGTGCCCTTGGCTTTTGTACGCAAGGCTGGTGCTCTACCCCTTGAGCCACAGCTCCACGTCTGTCTTTGTCTGGTTCACTGGAGATCAGAGTCTCACAGACGTTCCTGCCCTGTTCCGGCTTGTTGTTCTTCTTGTATTATTTATTTTTGTTATGTAAAGGTGATGGACCTGTCAGGTCATGAGTACACTCCTTTCTTAACATGTGTTTTATAGTGAAAATACTGTACAGAGGGGTTACAGTTACATGCGTAAGGCACTGAGTCCATTTTTATCAAGCATTATTGCCTCCTCCTTTGTTTTCCCCCCCTCCCCTCCCCCCCCTCCCCTCCCTCCCTCCCCTCCCTCCCCTCCCTCCCTCCCTCCCCCCACCAAAGTTGTAAAGTTCGTTTTCGGCACAGCGTCCTGTGCATCTCATTGTGACGATGGGTCAAGCTGTATCCTTACTTCAGCATTTTGTGATTTCCCTTCCCCTCCCCAAATTAGAAAAATGTAGATACAAGATGCAGAGCACCGGAATCAAATACGGTGACAACAGGGATTATACCGTGGGGGATGAACATCCAAGGAACCAAACCTTCACCTGGATGAGCACATTTCTCCTCAGAACCCCCGCTTTCCTCCATCTCTCCAATTCTTGTCTCCGCCCCCCCTTTGTAGCCAGAACTTGAACACGGTACTCGTGTGTATCTCCTATTTAATTACTGATGTATAAAAACCAAATAGGAACCGCTCAGTCCAAAACTCGACCCCCCGAACATCAACCCTGTCTCTGGTTTTTTAGTCTTTTAGTTTTCTCCACCATGGAAAGATGTGTAGGTCTCTATGATTCTTAGAGGGGCACATGTTTAGGGCTGGGAAGTGGCTCAGGGGTAGAGCGCTCGCCTTGCATGCCTGAGGCCCTGGGTTCGAGTCCTCAGCACCACATAAGCAAAAAGAAAAAAGCCGGAAGTGGTGCTGTGGCTCAGGTGGTAGAGCGCTAGCCTTGAGCTGAAGAGCTGAGGGACAGCCCAGAGTTCAGGCCCCACGACTGATTGAAAAAAGAAAAAGCACGTGTGTATACATTACCACGGCACACCCCCCAACTTAGAAGAATAGCAACGGATTCCTGACAGCACACAAATAAAAGAAATGTAAACCAAACTCTGCCCACGAGATTCCTCTCTATGGTGCGTGTTTCTAAGCCATCTTCCTGGTGAAATCAGAAGTATACAAGAGGTTATGTCATCTCAAACACCAATGCGGAACTGGCTAGTGGAAGTCTGAGTTCCCCGTGTCTCGGTTAACAGGAATCAACACCTCTTTCCTGCAGCTGTTCTGAGAATCTAAATCATTCATGTGAAAGACTCCCTTTATGGAATTCAGTGAACAGCAAATACCCTGTGGCTCACGCCTGTCATCCCAGCTACTCAGGAGGCTGAGATCAAGGACCTTGGTTCAAAACCAGTCAGGCCTAGGCAGTGGTGGCTCGTGCATGTAAACCCTAGCTACTCAGGAAGCTGAGATCTGAGGATCATGGTTCGAAGCCAGCCTGGACAGAAAAGTCTATGAGACACTTAAATCTAATGAACCACCAGAAAACCCAAAGTGGAGCTGTGGCTCAAGTGGTAGAGCGCTAGCCTTGAGCCAAAGAAGCTCAGGGACAGTGCCCAGGCCCTGAGTTCAAGCCCCAGGACTGGCAAACAAATAATAGCTAAATCGGTTCAGAAAAAGAACACCGTTAACCCGTTTGACGTGATAGGTTGGGTGGGTACAGGTAGCCCGTGCTGTAATCGTACCTACTATGTCGGAGGCTGAGAGCTGAGGATCATGGGTCACAGATGAGCCACTCTTTTATCTCCAATGAACCAGCAAAAAGCTGGAAGTGGAGCCGTGACTCAAGTGGTAGAGCACCAGCCTTGAGTGGACAAGAAAGCTAAGGGACAATGTCCAGGCCTTCAAGTCCCAGTATTGGTACAAGCATGAAATCAAGGTGTGGAGGCGTGGTTCAGTGGGTGGAGCACTAGCCAAGGAGCCAAGTGTCAGGCGCCGAGTTCCAGTCCTGGAAAAAGAAAAGGACACCAGCGTGTGAAAACCCAGTCTGCCAATCTTCGTGATTTATGTCTCCTCCCGTCTTTCCTGCGCCATGCTAAACACGAGTGTGGATCGGAATCCACGACCGTCTTGGAGACCAGAGCCATTCGGCCTGTG